CCTTTTTTTTTTTTTTTTTTTTTTTTTTTTTTTTTTTTTGCAGGGTCTCTCACTGGGCCCTAAGGCTTGCCCATTTGGTTAGGTTTGCTGTGTCTGTCTGTCTGTCTGTCTGTCTGTCTGTCTGTCTGTCTGTCCTGTTCCATCACTGTAATTTATAGGCATTGCTACACTGCCGAACTTTAAAAGAATGCATTATTTACATGTTTTGAGATTATAATTGCATTGTTCCCCGCTTCCCTTCCCCCCACCCTCCCATGTACTCCACCTCCCAAAGCTCTCTTTTCCTTTAATTGTTGTAACATACACAAATATAAATGCATAAATACAACCAGCTCAGTTTCTGTAAGTCACTTGTATGTATGTTTTCAGAGCTGACTACTTGGCATCGAATAACCAACTGGGGTGCTCTTCCCAGGGGAAGACTGTTTCTCCTGCTCTCAGCATTCCTTCATTGCCTGTGGCTCTTTGTCTGGGGCTGAGGCCTCTTGACCTGCTTGCCCACATGCCTGAGTCCATGTTAGCATGCTTATTGTAGTTGTCCTTGTTCGACTCATTTTTAAGCAGTCATGGTGGTAAGACTTTGTGGGTGTAGCTGCTGACATTCCTAGGAGAAGGAATCTCACAGCAAACTCTATTCCTCTGGCTCTCAAAATCGTTCTGCCCTCTTCTCTGCAGCGTTCCCTGAGCCTTAGGTACAGGAGCTGTGTTGTAAATGTATCCCTTGGGGCTGGGCTCCAAGCTCTGCTTTTTGATCAGTTGTGGTTTTCTCTAACAACGTCCGTCTGTTTCAGAGAGAGGTTTTCTTGATGAGGGGTGAGGATTATACCTACGTCTGGGCAAAAGGATGGCTCTATAGAGCTTAGTGGGGGATTACGCTGGTAAAGGTGGTGGCTGTAGGTTCTCCTCCAAGATCTTCATGACTTCACTAGTCCTGGGTAATTGATTAGGTTTCCAGTAACTAAGCACGTTTCCCCTCTTGTTGAGTGGGCCTTAAGTCCAGTTAGAAAGATACTGTCACTAAGATATGCACACCACCACTGCACCCTTAAAGCTGTGGTTCATAGGTGCCATATCTGAGTAAGACTCAGGTCAGGTCCATCTGGGTTCCCCGAGCTTTGTGTACAAAGTACTTGGTACTTATCTTCAGCAACAGGGACTTATCTTCTACCTCTGGGGTGTGGCTATCTTTTTATGTGGGTGCTGGGGATTGAACTCACATCTCTGTGCTTGGTTGACAAGAATGTTACCCACAGAGCCATCTCCCCAGCCCCCTGAGGCACACTTACTAAAGACAAAGGACCAAACCACACTGAGGGATGATCTCAGTGTGGTTTGGAAAGGCAGCTACTGTGGTGATTCTGTTTCAGATGCTAGGTTGCACCAGAGACATAGAGTGGCTGTCTCAGGAACACCCACTAGGAAGAGGCAAACTTGGAGGCAAAGTGGGCATGAATTTTTTAAAAAAGTATATTTTACTTATGTGTATTGTGGATGTGCCTGCATGACTTTATGTGTACCAGGTGTGTGCAGATGCCTATGGAGACCAGAACAGGGCGTCAGATCCTGTTGTTTGCAGGTTGTGAGCTGCCTGATGTGGGTGCTGGGAACTGAGCCCAGGTTTCCTGCAAGAGCGGCACATACGTGCTGTTAATTTGCCAAGCCATCTCTCCCCCTCTGTGAGCATGAGTCTCTTGCCCCTTTTCCTGTGGAGACAATGGGCCTCTTGTTCAAAGGCACACAGCCTAGCAGTGGAGGAGAAAGGTCAACCTGCCTCTTCTGAGTCTTTTTGCTTTTTCTACCAGGGGCGTCATCAATGCCAAGAACAGGGTTATTAGGTGGGGTGATCTTCACCATGGGACCCACTCCCTCTGAATCCTGCCCTAGACCAAGGTGACTGGAAGCATCCCATGACCCTAGAACCATGAATTCAGTGAAACAGTAGTCTTGAATGGAGAGAGGAGAGAGGACAGAGAACAGAGAGCAAGAGAGCAAGAGAGCAAGAGAGTGAGAGCGAGGGAGAAAGACAGAGAATAGCCTGCTGATATCATTGTCCTGACAGAGAATAGCCTGCTGATATCATTGTCCTGACTGTCCAATAGTCACTGTTCGTGGGAGAGGGGATAAGGGACCCTGATTTGAGGCCTGCCACAGCACCCGGGTAATAACTAGTTTGGTGGGAACTCTCATCAGCGAAGTAGTTATGGGCGTCCTACTGGGCCCAAGCAAGCCATGTCAGGCAAGGTGCCCCTGTAGGACTTGAGGCTAAAGGTGGTGGCTCCCTGTGAACCCCATGGAGGTAGGGAACATGCCCAGCCTCTCAGCTTTGCTCCTATCAGCATGGCTCTGCTTCTCCTATTTTCAGACAATCATTTTGTCAAACGAGTGGAGGCATTAGCCCGTACAGCCTGCTAGGCATCGACTTTGAGCTGCTTGTGCACCGCTCTGCCAGGGATCCAAGCCTGGGACTGCTCCGCTGGCTTCACTGTGGGTCTGAAAAGTGGCTCTCCCAGGGTGGGCTTTGCCAACTCTGAACAACAGTGTTCCATGGGAGGGGACATCGAGCTTCTGGAGGGAAGCATTGTTCCATGGGGGAACATAGGAGCTGCTTTGGAGCAGTGTGAACACCCACAGTGGCTGGCAGGAAATGACACCAGTGGAGGGCTGTGAGCTCAGGTGCCTGGCCCAGCAGCTCAGCTCCCTGCTTGCCTGCTGGAGCCATACAACCATGGTTTCTGGGAAGTTGCATCTGAGGCTGCCCACACTGGTGTGCTTGGCTCAGGTAGGGCATGCTCAGACTGTGCAGAAGGAACTGCTGGTGGCAGGAACAGCCAGGGTGGCACACAGAGGGTCTGTTCCTTCATCTATAAATGTGTTTTGATCCTTCTTGGGCTGGAGTGTGTCCGTAGCAACCACAGACAAAGTTGAAGACACCTTTTCTCATGGAGCTCATCTTAGGCA